ATGATCTGCTCTGTAAACTTGTACCTAATTCACAATAAAATGTTTATTTTTTTCAAAGAGGTAGGGATTGAGAAGTCTACTGTGAAGTACTGTTAGCAAAGAGGCTAAGTGTGCCTTTCATAAATTTGTACTATAATTTATGGCAAAATGTATAAAATTTCTTGCACTCATTTCTGCATCAAAAAGTTGGGAGTAAAAGATCAGGATAGTTAAATTTCAAGAAAAATGTTTCTTCACTCCTGCATGCCTATTTCTTTGGCCTTTTGACTTTTGAGATTGTCTCAATTAATTGTTTTTTAAAACACCATTTAAATGCTTTAAAATGAGTCATGATTTTGGGGGGCCCAACCTTGAGTAAGAGTAATTGCAAATGCAGTAGGTATTTAGGAGCTCTAGTGGTTGGCAAAGAGTCCTGGTGATGTAGTGGTTACACTTTGGGCTGCTAACTACAAGGTTGGTAGTTTGAAGCCACCAGCTACTCGAGGGAGAAAGACAGGCTTTCTACTTCCAGTTACAGTTGAGCCTGTCAGCCTGACTCTTCTTCTATCCAGGAGGTCTGCTGCACATTCTTCGTTCACTGGGAGCATTCTGCTGTGCCTCTAACTACTCCCGAGTGACACTAGCCTGCCCCACACAGGGGTTTGCCATGCATTGCCCGATAGGCCAGAAGCCCACAGCACTGGTCCCTCTCCTTTTCTGTCTGGCCGCAGCCCATGACATGCTCCTCTGTTTGCAAGTCCCTTGTGGGAAAAGATGTGGTTGTGGAACTAAAAGATGAGCTGAGCATCTGTGGAATGCTCCATTCTGTGGATCAGTATTTATCTCAACATCAAACTAACAGACATCAGCGTTACAGACCAGAGAAGTACCCTCACTTGTTATCAGTGAAGAACTCTTCATCCAAGGCTCAGTAGTCCACTTTATGCACTTGCCAGCAGATGAGGTCGATACACAGTTAGTCGCTCCTAGGATTCAACAGAAATGGTGATGGTTCTTCTTCTACTTCCCTTCCTTACCTCTTCCATAGGTGACCCTTAATCTCCTATCCAAACCAGCGCCCCTTAACACCCAAAGGTTTTTGTTGGGTTAATTTTTAGTAGTGAAGACTTTGTTTTGGATTTTTAAAAGGATGAGTGGATGAGGAGAATAAGAGTAGGGAGGGAGCCAGCTGTCCTTGGCTGGGACTTCACTTATTGCCATCGAGTCTAAAGGGAGGGTCAGTAGGGTGGGGACCAACTAAACCTTCCCAGTCCCCCAGCATCTGCCTTTCTCACTCCTCCTGGGAGAGTGTAGGACAGCCTCTTAAATCTCCCCAGAGCAGGATGTGGTTTTGTTTGGGGGTGGAAAGAATACATCCCAAAAGGGGAATAAAATTTATAATGCAAAAAATTTTTACAATCTCAGAAACTCACAGGGGCAGTTCTTCCTTGTCCTATTGGGTTGCTGTGAGTCAGCATTGACTTGATGGCAGTAAGTTTCTTTTTTGAGTGGTTGGTAACCTTCAATTTGTCTACTAAAAGTACAACCGGCACTTGGTAAATATTAGTAGAAATTTGTCAAATTAAGTAGCCATTAGTTTATAATAGAAAAAAACATTTTTTTGCCTGAGAATTGATCAGTTTGAGATACAGATTTTACAGCTACCAGAATGTATAATTGACTTTGAAGCTAATTTTACATTTAGAATGAAACATGAAATTATAATTGTCGAAAGCGGGAAATTAACATTTGAAGGTTGTTGGTTAGTCGTTGAAATTTTAAAAGGTTTTATTTCTAGTTAGTGTCTTGTAAAGTCTTATGTGCCCAGAGAAATGAAATATATTTTTGTTTTGAATTATTATACTAGATAAATGTCTGTTTAAATTATTAAGTATATTTGTTTAGTTTGATGTCAAAGTTACTTTTTCCTGCCTATTTTAAGATTAAGAGAATTTTTACTTTGCACAGCTCACCATGAAGAAAATGTACCTTGAATACAGGGGAAGAAGTAAGAAACAAGGATGTCCTAAAAGCAGTGACAATGGGTATTACTTAAAGCTGGCCCACTGTGTAATTTTCTGGAAGAATAGTTTTAACATGCTAGTTATTTACATGTAATTTCTTCAATGTAGTAAAACCCAGAAAAATGGACACAAAAAGTCACTGCAAAAAAACCTGGGTAATATATGGTTAATGAAATAATCAGACTGAACTTGTACAGCCAGGCTGCAAATTCAGGGGTCCAGTAGAGTTAACTAAATCCACCCTGACTGCCATTTGCTGTCACCTGTTTTAAATATAGAGTGGGACAATTTTGAGACCTGTTACTGGAGTTGCAGCTTCTGTTTATTAGTGTACATATACGTTCTATAAATTTCTTTTTTTAAAAAACATTTTATTAGGGGCTCATACAACTCTTATCTCAATCCATACACACAGCAATTATGTAAAGCGCATTTGTACATAATTCTCAAAACATTTTCTCTCCACTTAAACCCCCAACAACAGGTCCTCATTTTTCCCCTCCCTCCCCGCTCCCCCCTCCCTCATGAGCCCTTGATAGTTTATAAATTGGTATTTTGTCATATCTTGCCCTGTCCGACGTCTCCCTTCACCCACTTTTCAGTTGTCTGTCCCCCAGGGAGGAGGTCACATATAGTTCCCTGCAATCGGTTCTAGAAGTAGACTCAATGGGTTTGTAGGTGTCATACATCTACGTTATGTGTTCAGTAAGACTTCAGTAGGAGCCTTGGTGGCATAGAGGATTATGTGCACCAGCTGAGAAAATTTGCTCCCATAAAGACTTAAAGCCTCAGAAACTCAAGGGGCAGTTCACTCTGACCTGTAGGGTTATTATGATGAGTCTGAATCAACTTGGTGACAATAAGTTTTTAAAATTTGTTTGGTTGATTGGTTGGTTGTTTTTAAGACCTCACTCGTTCTGAAATTCAGAAGTTTGAAAATCAAGTCATTTTCCAGCAGAACTTGGTTTGAAGTGTCAAGAGACTATATATATAATCTTTTTAATACTATTTGTAATTCCTGCAGCAAAGACATTAGTGGGCTCGATTGTGGATTGCTGCCTCAGACCTACTTATAAGTGTTTTGTTTAATACATGATACATGTACCATATTACTGCTATAAAATCTGAAAAATTATAAATTCCACAACATATATTTCCTAATAGTTTTGAATAAGTGAATATAGAGATATCAGTATCAATGTATACCTACAAATAATTTTTAGAGTGCTTGTTTTTCTATACCCTGATAATTTTGGACCTTGCTGCATCAATGTGAAAATAGCCATTGATTTTAGTATCCTTAGGTATTACCTTAGAGATTGCAGCAGTAGAACTTAGATTTACAGGATGACTTTCAGATCTGGAAAAGCATAGTCATTACCTTAAATGACCTAAAGTCTCACTATCCTTTGCACCTGTTTTGGTTACTTATATAGTTAACTTGGCTGGAAGCTTCACAGTTAATATATCAAGTTAGTAGTTCATGTAATAGTATAGTTTGGCCGGAAGCAATGTGATCTTCTTGACATAATGGAAGATACTTAAGGGAGGAAAAATATTGTTGACTTCAATGATTTATAAATTTGATGTCAAAAGCACTTGACTTTCTAATTATGAGAACTAAGGATCATCTAATTTGGCATAACTAACACATTAGTAGCATTCTGTTTGGGATTCCCCTCTCCCCCCCCCCCCCCAGATTTGTAATTCCTTTGCCATATGTTGGAAATACTGGTTTCCAAATAACATTTTAAAGTTAAACTTTAATTCCAGCTGAATTAAAGTTTAAAGCTGGAATTCTCTTTAAAATTAATCCAAGTTTTTACATGTAAATTTAGTGACTTTGATTATAATCTTTGAGTTGTACTACCATTCTTACCCATCTTTTCAGAGTTGTTCCTCATTAACATAAACTCACGGCTCCCTGAGGGTGTGATTCATTTTTCAGTTTGCTGTATGAGAGCCCATATAGAGCTTGTAAACTTGAATTAGTACACACACACCTCTTTTAAACCAGTGAACCTAACTTATATGACTGTAATATGAGTAGGATATTTGGGATTTAAGGTTTAAAGATTTTCTCAGGAAAATAGTTTCAGAGGTCATGAAGCATTCATGGCTCTAGAAAGGCTGGTTTTCAGGAAAACCTGAAATCTTGGGATTCTTTTATGGAAACTTATCAAAATGTTCAGTAGTGGTAGCGGAGTACCATCTAGTTCTGGTCTCATGGCAGATAAGGCAGTTGTTCATAGAGGTAATTACCATATATACTTATGTAGAAGCCAAGTTTTTCAGCACATTTTTAATGCCTTTTTTGTGGTGAAATTAGGTGCCTCGGCTGATATTCTAGTATAGATGGTAGCTTCACATTCCATATTCTCCTATTACTAAATTTCTTGTTCTGTTGCATCAATTAATTGTGCCTTGCATGGTCTTTAGCAAGCATTTAAGACCCCAAGCACTATATGTATTAATTGGTCAATTAATTATAATGTCTCACGAAATCATGTCCCTAAACATCCAAATCAAAGAACCAAATCCTCTGAGGTGTTTTTGGTTGTACACAAGCAACCGCAGTAGCTACTCTTTTGTTCTATCTCTCCCACAACTTTGCCAGCTTAACTTTTTGCAGATGTATTCTTTCCTGTTGACAACAGTTACACTAATGGACTACATATAAGGGTGCAACACACTTACACACTCCTCCCCATTTCTACACCCCACCCCCTCAATTCACTGGCATTAAGTTGACTTGAACTCATAGCAACCTAGTAAGACAGTAGAACTGCCTCTGTGAGTTTTTGAGACTGTAAACTCTTTACTGAAGTACAAAGACTCATCTTTCTCCTCCCGAGTTGCTGGTGGTTTTGAACTCCTAACCTTGTGACTAGTAGTCCAACCTGTAACTCATTATGCCACTAGGACTCTAATAACCACTAAGAAACTTTGGTCTCTATACATTTGCTTTTTCTTGTCTTTTTTATCTTAGGCGAGACAATATATCTTTTTGTGATTGGTTTATTTTTCTTAGCATAATAGCTTCTGATTCCATACTGTGGTTTTCTTTATCATAACTAGTTTCTTATTTGCACTTGGGTCTATTGTAGGTTTGTGATATATTTCACTATTGGTAGGGCCATGAGGGTAAACTTGGCACATCCCCCCTCCCAAATGTCAACCATTTTTGTGTCATTCTTATAGATGAATAGTTTTGCTAATGGAATTTAGATTGGATTTCCATGAAAATTAATATAAATTTGGCGAATATCCATAGTTTATATAATATGAAGTCTTATGTTAGGAACATGTCTCCATTTAATTAATGCATTGTATTTTTCAATTTATATAAAATTTATGCTTATATTAGTAAAGAACCTAGAGAGGAGCCATTATACAGAGAGATACATAGGATTGAACAGCAAGTTAAACAAAATAGCACTTATACTTTGGAAATAATTTGCCATCTACTTTCAAAATAATTTGAATCTATTTACTATATATCTTAAGAGTTGATAACTAAATGTACTTAAAATGTAGCTACCACATAAGATTTCTTTATGGAAGAGAAGGCCCCACTCCATCCCAAATTAACGTCATGTGTTGCTGTTAAACAGTAAACAAAAGAGAGCTGGCTTTGTTGGTCATTTTAACTCTATTTTTAAAGAATTTGTGAAATTATGATTGTTTATGTGTTCCTTATTTCCTGGGATGTTGTTTTGTATAGAAGACAAACAGTTTTCTTAAATTTGTAGTTGTTAACGTTCTACAGCCATTATTTAAAATTTAGACGAGTTTGATAATGTTCATTTATTTATTTATATTTCCTTGTTATGGTAATGTCTTAAGTTGCACTTCAGATACATAAAACTTGTATTTAAGGCTCACATTTTAAGCACAGTAGTCTGAAAATGAACTGGTCTACACACTCTAACTGAACTTTTCTTTTTAGTTACATCAGAGGATCCACTGACCATAGGATGTTGCCACACAATCTACCTCTTGTGTTACACTATTTCATGAGCTGCAACAGTTGAAAATTTGAACCTGATGTCTGCAGGCTGTGTTGAAAAACTTTGAAGAAGCTAAATAACACGGGATGACCTAGGAGTGATTCTAAGCCTATAACAAGATACTGATTCATCAGTGAATGTGTCAGCCTTGGTTCTGAATGCTGCAGATAACAGCACATAGAGTTTCTTCTTTCTTTATTTCTGAAGCATTCACTTGACCTTTCATCAGTTAAGATTGACTTTTCTAATCTGTTCCGGGATATATTAATGGAATACAGTCATGTCCACTCAAGACGAGAGGCAGATCAATACTGAATATGCTGTGTCCTTGTTGGAACAGTTAAAACTGTTTTATGAACAGCAGCTGCTTACTGACATAGTGTTAATTGTTGAGGGCACTGAATTTCCTTGTCATAAGATGGTTCTTGCAACATGTAGCTCTTATTTCAGGTAAGTACTTTAATCTTTGATTAATTTGTAAATGCAGATAATTGCCTTAATGTTGAGGAAGAGTAAAGGTACTATTTTTCTTTGAAGAAGAAAACTGAAATAATTTACTCTAAATTTTAAAATAGGTTCTTTTATTTTAAAATAAAAGGGGTTCTTGCTTATACTCTTGTTATAATAGGTTCGATAAAAAATTTTTAGAGGGTACTTGATGCTGTTTAGACAGGTTTAAGAACTTTAAATTCTTTTGAAAAAGTGTATTTTTTTTACTCTTGATTGGTTACGACTATCATGTGTGATATCTTTTTAGCCTTACCAGACTCCTTGCCAGATATAAATATTCAATAATTAACAGCATTGTCGCTATGCTGTGAGCCTCAGAACTTTGATTTTGAGAAATAAATAAAGCTTTAACTTTTCATTTCTAGACTTTTTCGATAGCTTTATCTTTTTAAAGTAGTTCCTCTTTTAAATTTTATTGAAAGAATAGAAAACTAAAATTTAGAAATTCCTTGATGTTTCTTCTGCCTGCTCTTGGGTTAAAAATTTTATTTAGTATTTGAAAAAATGACTTAGAAGTGGACTGGTATATTTCTATTACAAATAATAGCTTCCATAAATGGAGACCCACAATGAACATTCCTGCAGCTCTTTAGTGGCGGCTGTAGACAGGGAAGGTTTAATATGAGCTCTCATGACACTTCACATGCTTCATTGTACACATGGTGATTGCAGAAGCAAGGTCTCAACTGCACTACCTTCCTCGTGCTACAGGTTTTGTTTTCTGTTAAGCTAAGAATTAGTCATCTAACTTTTTTATGCTTGTCTGAGTTAGAAGGGTCCATTTGCAAACTGGCTTCAAAATATGATAAATTATCAGTCCTCTGGAATTCTTTTACAACTTAGACATTCCAGGAATTGAAACTTGAAAATGTGATTTAGCAGAAAATGTGATTTAGCAGATTTGGGGTAGGGAATCAGAATTTGTATCTTTGAAAGCTTTGCAGATGAGAGAGAAGTGGAGTTAATACTTAAGGGGTGGGCTACTCAGTTGCAATTGAAAATGGAGGTTGGTTGCACAGTATGGTGAATGTAATTAATATCACTGAATTAGTTGAACACTTAATAGGTTAAAGTGGCAAATTGTATATTTTGTGTCATACTTCATCACAATAAAAAGAAAAATTTCAAAGCTTCCCAAATGATTGGCAGATATTCTTGAGATCTGTTGACTTAGGTGGTATACAAAATCTAAGGTTGCAGATTTAGTCAAACCTTGAGTAACCTTTTCCCTTCAGTGGCCGAACTTTGGAGACCCTAGGCACTATGCAACGACCCAGGAGGTCTCAGAACAGACACATTATGAGGCCAGTGACCTAGGTTGTTTTATGCAACCAAGACCCTAGCCATACAATCCAAGGAATCAAATGAACCTAATGTTTTTTATCTTGATCTGTATTGTAGTCTGTATAAATACTTAGTTCCTTTTTACATCTGAGTAGTAGTACATGTATGTGTATGTTTTCACTGAGAATGGCATAGTGGAATTGTCTGATATATTTGACATTGGATTATATTTTTGTCTCCATCAAAAGTCTTGCTTCTAAGTTACCTGCTAGCAAATGCTTTGAATAAACATGTAGTGTTATTTAGTCTTCTTCGTCTTATATTTGTTTGACTCTAAACTCTTACTGCTTGTTTTCTCCCTTCCTTCTGTAGAGCCATGTTCATGAGTGGGCTAAGCGAAAGCAAACAGACACATGTACACCTGCGGAACGTCGATGCAGCCACTTTACAGATAATAATAGCTTACGCATACACGGGTAACATGGCACTAAATGACAGCACTGTGGAACAGCTGTATGAAACAGCCTGCTTCTTGCAGGTTAGTTTTTCTCATAAGTTGTATATATGACTTGTTACCTTTTTTCCCCAAGAAATAATGTTTCATCAGTGATGTCTTATTGAAGATTTTATTAGGTAAAATTTTTCTTCTCTTTGAAAGATATAAGAAAAACAGTAAGACTAGGGAGGGGGGAGTGGAGAGGGAGGGGGAAAATGAGCTGATATCAAATCAAGGGCTCAAGAAGTAGAAAGCAAATGTTTTGAGAATGATGATAGTAACAAATGTATAAATGTGCTTGACACAATAGATGTATGTATGGATTGTGATAAGAGTTGTACGAGCCCCCAATGAAATGATTTAAAAAAAACAGTAAGATTTGATCAACCAAAAAACTAGTTTTTGATGGAAATTTAGCTAATTGAAAAACAAAACCAACCTCATTGCCATCAAATCGATGCCAACTCATAGTGACCATAAACTGTTCCTTTGAATTTCCAAGAAAGCCTCATCTTTCTCCCAAGGAGCGCTTGGTAGTTTCAAACTGGTGCCCTTTTGGATCACAGCTCAATGCATAACCACTACGCCACCAGGGTCCCAGCTTCTTGAGAACCAAAAACCAAACTCGCTGCCATCGAGTCAATGCTTACTCATAGTAAAACGTGATACTTGACATATTTGCCTATAACTTATTTTGCCATGTTTTCTGTCAAATTCTCTTTAAATTTTAAGATTATAAAAGTATTTTTTCATTGTTTTCCATATTTTGGAATGACACGCTGTTTCAGAAAAAGGTTAAATTTGGTAGCATAGTCCATGATGGATAGCAAGTGCTTGTGTGTTCAATGAATGAATGACACTAATCAAATACCTATACCTGAATGTAAGTACGTAACTCTAGGAACCAGAAATCAATTGGTACCTTTTTCCTTTTCTAACATTGTGTGAAGTGTAATATCCTATTGTGTTTTCAATTCCCAGGAAACTGGGGTCTTGGTAGTATCTTGATGGCTGTAGAATCAAAGACACTAGCAACGTAAATCCTAGTTTGAGAAGGAATACTGTTTACTGTGAGCACTGCCTGTCTATAGTTGTCAAGTGTTCACTACTTGTTTTAAAGCCAGGAATTATTAGTAGATGTTTTTCAGAATTACTAAGAAATTTCAAAAGAAATGACATTCTAGAACATTTTGTTACTGATTAAAATTAACATTGTCCCCTTTTCCCATGCCATCTTAATGAATTACGTGTATGTATGCATTCACATCTCATTACCATCAATCGATTCTCACTCATAACAACCCTATAGGACAGGGTATAATTGCCCCTGTGGGTTTCTGAGAGTATTTATTACTCATTACACGAGTAGAAAGCTTCACCTTTCTCCTGCAGATGGGCCAGCAGGCCCAAATGCAAAGCATTCCTCAGCCTTTTGTACTGAGTTGCCTTAGGTAGTATAACTATTGAATTACTTTCACTACAAACCACTCGTGTAATCTTCATAGTGATTGTTTGAGGTAGACTACTATTTTCTTATTTTATACAAGTAAAAACAGATTTATAGGTGAAGATAGCTGTCTTTATATGCAAGTACTGGCCAACTATGTAACCTGGCTAATCACTGTGAACTACTCTTCTCTTAACACTTCTGATGTTGAATACATGTAGGTAGTACTTCTTATTCAATTGAAATTTTACCTTCTTAAAAAACAAATTTAGAATAGCTCTGCTAGATCATTTGACTATAGGTAATTTATAACAAGCCAATGTATATTCATTATGCTTTGATTCATTTTATTAGTACTGTAGCTAAAACAGACAAAAAACAATACTGGATTTAGTTACTGTGCGTGGTTTTCTTGTTTTAAGGGTCTCCTTTGTCCAAATAAGAGAAAAGCATATTTCAGCTACTCAACTATTTCCAGTGCTTTCCTTTCATTTGATTTCTGCAAGAATATTTTTAAAGCCTAGAAAAGTATAGCTTGTGCATGAATGTCCTTACCTTTCCTTGAAGGCTATTTGACTTTTTGTTGTGTTATTTTAGTGCCTACTTGATGCTGCACTACTCGTTTCTAAATAGGACAGTTAAGTAGGCCATCGGATAGGAAGAAAAAGTGAAAACTCTTCATAGTCTTATGATTTTATTATTGCTAGGGGTCATTTCTCTTAGCCCAAACATATGTATGTGGAAAAATAAAAACAAATAAATTGCAGTCTATCTTACCTTTAAGAGTCCTATAGCAATACAAGGTTTGTTAAGTGCTTAATGACTTACCAAAAGGTTGGTGCTTTGAATTTAACCAGATGCAACTTCTAAGAAAGACCTGATGCTCTTCAAAAGGACAAAGCCTTGAACACTCAAGGGAACCGCACCCACAGGGTTGACAAGAGTGTGAATTGACATGATAGCAACTGGTTTGGTTTCTGCTTCACCGTGCCCTTATCAGCCATTTTTTCTTTTCTTTTTCATTTTAGGTAGAAGATGTGTTGCAACGTTGTCGAGAATATTTAATTAAAAAGATAAATGCAGAGAATTGTGTGCGGCTGTTGTGTTTTGCTGATCTCTTCAGTTGTGAAGAGTTAAAACAAAGTGCTAAAAGAATGGTGGAGCATAAGTTCACTGCTGTGTATCACCAGGAAGCTTTCATGCAGTTGTCACATGACCTACTGATAGACATTCTCAGTAGTGACAATTTAAATGTAGAAAAGGAGGAGACCGTTCGAGAAGCTGCTATGCTGTGGCTAGAGTATAATACAGAATCAAGATCCCAGTATTTGTCTTCAGTTCTTAGTCAAATCAGAATTGATGCACTTTCAGAAGTAACCCAGAGAGCTTGGTTTCAAGGCTTGCCGCCCAATGATAAGTCTGTGGTAGTGCAAGGTCTGTATAAATCCATGCCGAAGTTCTTCAAGCCGAGACTCGGGATGACGAAAGAAGAGATGATGATATTCATTGAAGCGTCTTCAGAAAATCCGTGTAGTCTGTACTCATCAGTCTGTTACAGTCCCCAGGCCGAAAAAGTTTACAAGCTCTGCAGCCCACCAGCTGATTTGCATAAAGTTGGAACCATTGTAACTCCTGATAATGACATTTATATAGCAGGGGGGCAAGTCCCTCTGAAAAACACAAAAACAAATCACAGTAAGACAAGCAAATTTCAGACTGCCTTCAGAACTGTGAATTGCTTTTATTGGTTTGATGCACAGCAAAATACCTGGTTTCCAAAGACCCCAATGCTTTTCGTGCGTATAAAACCATCTCTGGTGTGCTGTGAAGGCTATATCTATGCAATTGGAGGAGATAGTGTAGGTGGCGAACTTAACAGGAGGACTGTAGAAAGATACGACACTGAAAAGGATGAGTGGACGATGGTAAGCCCCTTGCCATGTGCTTGGCAGTGGAGCGCAGCAGTGGTGGTTCATGACTGCATTTATGTGATGACACTGAACCTCATGTACTGTTATTTTCCAAGGTCTGATTCGTGGGTAGAAATGGCCATGAGACAGACTAGCAGGTCCTTTGCTTCAGCAGCAGCTTTTGGTGATAAGATTTTCTATATTGGAGGGTTGCATATTGCCACCAATTCTGGCATAAGACTCCCCTCGGGCACTGCAGATGGGTCTTCAGTAACTGTGGAAATTTATGATGTGAATAAAAATGAATGGAAAATGGCAGCCAACATCCCTGCTAAGAGGTACTCTGATCCCTGTGTGAGAGCTGTTGTAATTTCAAATTCTCTGTGTGTGTTTATGCGAGAAACCCACTTAAATGAGAGAGCTAGATATGTCACCTACCAATATGATCTGGAACTTGACCGGTGGTCTCTGCGGCAGCATATATCTGAACGAGTACTATGGGACTTGGGGAGAGATTTTCGATGCACTGTGGGGAAACTTTATCCGTCCTGCCTTGAAGAATCTCCATGGAAACCACCAACTTACCTTTTCTCACCAGATGGGACAGAGGAGTTTGAACTGGATGGAGAAATGGTTGCTCTACCACCTGTATAGCTAAGAGTTCAGGGAGTACACACCTGCAAAAGTAATTTCTTTCAGATGAATTAGTACAAGGCTGATTCCAGTGAGGTGGAAGTTAAAGATGTCTCAAATATCCTACTTTACCAAAATGCTATACCACTCCATTATCTCCGACACCAGCCACCACTCCTCCCCTCAGTATTCTCCCTCTAGTTCCCGGGTTCTGCCATTTCCTGCAACAACTCACAGAACTCAAACCTTCAAGGAAGTGGTGCACGTGGTTGTGGAGGCTGGCAAGTCCCAAATCTGATGTTTAGACATCCATCTGGAGGATTCTTGTCGTTCACACCAAATTAGACTGCTGTCTCAAGGCTACAGAAGCTGCCAAGTCAGGTCGGGCGGAGGCAAGCCAGAAGCAGGATCCAGAGCGAGAGAGCCAACGTTGCCAAAGTTGCTTAGTTCACGTCAAGATGGCTGCCGGAGTCCTTGGCCATCGGTTTTCTTAGGGTGGTCACTGGCATCTGACTGGTGTTTGTCACCAGGTGACTCACTAGTCTTAGGCACATGCTCACTTGGGAAGTGGGCTCAGAAAGATGGCATCTTACCCACGTCTGAGGTTTTGATGGAGTTGTGGTTTTTGCCTTCTGACAGCAAAAAACTAGGAGTGGAGAATCATGTCAGCACAACGTGGGCTGTCCAGGTCTAGTCTTAGCCAGTTTCATGACCCCAGCCGCTGCCTCTTCTGAATTAGGCAGCAGGTGATTTGCCTATTAAGGAAAGAGCTTAAAACCATAAGTTTGTGTTTGAACACCAATGTCAAAGATGATGGCTGATCTGTAGACCATATAGCCCCAAGCAAAATGAGGGTGATGACTTGAGTCATACCCTCTAGTAAGGTGGAGGCTCAAAATATATCTATCCTACCTTAATCCTGCCTCATTAGCATAACAATACACTCCCAAATAGACCAGTAGCTACAAGGGTAGAGGCTAGGAATTATACAGTCAGGACATCACAAAATGGAGGACTAGGGTCAGAAGTGCTATATGAACTAACTCAACCTCAACACCTGATCTATGAGCTTTGACATTTTCTTTAAGCAAGAGAGTCTATGAAAGGTTTAAATGAGTACATAAAAGTCTTTATCTTTGATAAATTTTATTTTTATGCCCTACTTAATATTTGCATCAGTATAATATATATCAATGAATTACAGAAAAATATACTTCCATAATATGAAATAGATTATCCAATAATTGAGAAACTTTTATGTGTATCATGAGAGTTTGAGAATCTGGCTTATCTAACAGATTGTTAGCTCTGTGTATGTACAGCTCAAAAAGCTCACTTACATAGTCTGCTGTTCCTAGTGTGGTCTATGACTATGCTGAGGTTATTTCAGTGTATGTATTTCATTCCTGTGCTTCTGTTCTGAAGTCTTGGAATATAGTTTTTTTCAGTGTAATTAGTTCAGCTGCAATTAACACTATTGTCCATGTTGGTATAGAGATGCTGTCTAAATCCTATTCTCTAGTGGAGGAAGTTCTTCCTTCTAATGGTATTACACAGGGAAAGCTATGACTGCAGGATCAGTCTAACTATACTATTAGGTGCATGTATTCTCTTTTCACTAACTTATACTCTCTCTCTAGAATACAGGTCTTCCAGTCAGCTGGTCCCTTACCAGGTGTGGACTAAGTTGCTGGGCTCGCAAGAAGAATTGCCAGCCCCTCATTGTGCGGGTCTGTGTGGAGCTTTACTCAATGAATGCCTCCACTTCTGTATTACATTAACATTGGCTCATGCATATAACTACCTGCTGCTGATGTGTTTCTCCATCTTAAAGATTTAGAGTGGGTTAACCAGGTCATTACATCGTTGTTAATTTAATAACAAGCATTACTGTAGAGTGATTGTGTATAGTATCTGTCAGTTGTCAGAGTATGTGTGTGTATGATTTTTTTTAACCTGTAGAGTGTGTGTTGGGGGTGGGGTGGGGTGATAGGATTAGGAAGATGAACTGTTCAGGAAATCTCTGCACTAGCCGTGCAGTAGAGCAGATAACTAGTGCTGCTCTGGCATTAATCCCAGGAACCACTAGCAGTAGCGGGGTGCCGCCAATCTAACATGAGCACAGGTGCTTCATGGACAAACATTACTAGCATGTTCAACTGCATAATGTTCTGGCACTGTATTTTGAATGACATTAATTTATTAAATAAATTGTATATATTCAATGTCTCTTTTGTGATTAAACTGGTATAACTATGCTTTTACTTTGGAATTTACTGGGCCAACTTAGCTTGATTATAGGTAATTTCAGTATTTTGTTTGCCGGATGTGTATTTGGCTTCCCATTTTATACTCTCATTTGGGCCATGCTGGATTATTATAAACTACAGGAGAAACCAGTCCCTGGATAAGGCCATCATGCCTGGTAAAGTAGAGGGGGGCAGTTAAAAAGCGGAAGGTCCTCAACATGATGGATTGACACAGTGGTTGCAACAGTGGTCTCAAACATAAGAACCATTGTGAGGTTGGCACAGGTTTGGGCACTGTTTCCTTATGTTGTACATAGCACCTAATAGCAGCAGCACCTAAGAGTAACAATAGGCCAGTGACTTGTACTCTGGTTATATATCAGAGTCATCTGGGGGACACTTTTTAAAAGTCTGGGAGGATTCCTAGCCCTCATCCCACACAGATTGACTGAGAATCTGGTAGATTGACCTAACTTTTATAAGTCTCTACAGATGATTCTTTGATACAGTCCCAGTTGAGAACCATTGGTTAAGCCCTTAATAAAAAAATCTGATTCTAGATTACCAGTTGTCCTCCATCATGTTTAAAAACTTTACCTTTCCACTGCCGACAGAGAGAGCCCCGACTTCTTAGCTCATTTAAGGTCTTCTAATTTTGTTTTAAATCTGCCTTTGAAGCTCTCACATTGTTTCCCCACAACTTCATCTAATCAGGCTTTTGCGATACTTTTCTGCTTTTGCTTGTTCTTCTCAGAATGGTCTTTTCATCCCAACTCGAGTTGTATTTTGTAGATGAAGGGCTTCCCTTATATCCCTCTACCCCTGTGCTGGGTAAAGCACTTACATCTTTAGTACCTTGAATCTTAATTGTACAGTCATCCTACTGAGTACAAGAGGACTGCAAAAAGTTCATATGAAAGTACAATTAATATGTAAGACATAAAACTTTATATCTCAACATAAGCAAAACACTTCTGTAATCAATAATGCATGCCATTTAAACCCAAAAGCACACACGTTGCCATTGTGCCAATTCTGACACATAGTGACCTTATTAGAACGAGGTAGAATTGCTCCTATGCTTTTGCCAAGACTGCATGGTAGGAGACACCAGCCATTTTAGTCCATCTCTACATAAAGAATGGAGGGATCTTAAGAACTGTGTCAGTGCAGTCTTTAATACATTTGTAACAAGAAAAATGGGCACTTATCAAAAATGTTTTGAAGAACAGGAAATGCAGTCGGGAAAAGCTGACCCAGGCTGTAAGGTGGATGCCCTGGGTGGCTTGCAAAATTGCCCTGGTTTGATGAGAGGAATGAGCAGGAGCACTGGTGAAGGATGCGGGAAGCTTTTCCCAAGCATTTTGTACTACAGCTTTGGCTTTCTCAAAACACTTTGATAATAAGGAATTACTGTTCTTTAGCCTATCAAACAGTCAACAAGCAAAGTACCTTGTGCATCAAACAACCAAACTGGTTGCCATGCCTTTTGCTCTTGATGAGTCTGCTTTTGCGTTGACTGGACCACTTCCACCTCTTGGTAGCCATTGCTGTATGTGCTTTGTCGTTGGGATCAAGACATGTTTCATCTGTTAAACTCTTAAAGAAATACTGCAGGATGTTCACCCTGCTTGTATAAATTTACCGCAGAAAGCTGTGCTCTTGTCCGCAGCTAATTAGACCGCAACTGTTTTGGCACCTACCTAGTTGAAAGTTTGTTGAAGCTTAATTTTTGAGTAAGCTGAACCAATTGAGAGATCTGTGGTGTTGGTTGCTATATACCCTCCTCAGGTATATAGTGCTTCAAACTAGATTCTGTTTAACAGGTTAAGACAAGTTTATTTTGGTACATAAAATATTCAAAATATACCCATAGTTTTTTCATTTTCTGTGGACTTTTTGAAGGCCCCTTTTGGCCTTATTGGCCTTTATGGTTTTCTCCCAAATGTTTTGGGGTTTTTTTTTGTGGTAGAAGTAATGACTATGTTACATACCTAACTTGAATGAAAGCAGGTACGTGTACAGGGCCTTAGGGAGTTAGAAAGCATCAAGCCCAGCATACCAAGTTCTTTCTTATTAAAAATTTCGGCCAGTTATACATTTTTTCTTCACTTGTGTCCATCAGTCTTTGGTGTGTCATCATAATGTTTCGGCTCTTCCTTTGCCACTATCTTAAACTCCTTTGTGCTGTTCTTTTAGATGTGTGGTAAACCGGAAACTCAGACCGACTCAGCTATAGCTGCTTTTCTCTGTAGCTGGGTGACTGAGAACTCTCACAGAAAATCACATAAAAGCACAAATTGGAGCCGTGTGTAATTCATGATCACCAACCTCAACAAGGTCCTTACTAAACTTTGTTCTTGATTCCGCAGCATTTGAAACCTCTGGTGTCATTAAATATTTCCTTTTCCAACTTTATTAGCAAGTCCCTTCCATAGGGGAAACTCAAATAGTCATGACTAAATCTGTGGTCCTACATCCATCAATGGAAGTGTCCAGGAAGAATACATCATCATCCTTATTTGGAAAGGCAGGGTAAAAAGATTTTATCCTTGTTAACCTTAAGAATTTTTCTCCATGATTCACCTAGCTTCCAGACTTACAGTCAGCAACTTGAAGGTTTGTGGGTGCTTTCCAAGCATAACAAGCCGTAAGTAGCCCTCCCTAGCCATCTTCCATTCCAGTTAGATCCTTCCCTCACTTTAAAACATCACCAAACCTAGTTAAAAACAATTTCCCCTTACCAGTAATCCTCCCTTTCCCCAATCTAAGTCTTTGGTTCATTGTGTTCTGATGGGCCACATCTCACCATTTACACTGAGACCTACTTAAAACTTAATTGTTATGAGTTTAGAGGCTACTTGTTAATACTGCTGAACAGTCTGTTTGAAACTCTGGGTTGTGCTGCCTCTGACCTTTCCTCAGCTCCTGCTTGGTACCGCCACTAACCAACTCCAGCCTTCCCTTATTCACTTAGGCGTAAGCAATTCTGTTCCCAGCAACTACTACTTTCAGCTCAGACCTGAAAGCTAACCTTGCATATCCAACTTGGAAATGTCAAGGTGTCTCAAATTCAACATGGCTTTCCTCTCTGTCCTACCCCACACATGAGGCACTACCAAAAAAAATTTTTTTTTTCAAAGCTATATTACTTTTTTTTTACTTCCAAAGTACTCCATTACACTCAATACATTTGTCAAATCTGCAATTCCATTCTTGGAAACATTTTTCAAACTTCTCTGGATGGCTGATAGCACCTCCCTCGTTTTTTCTTCTCCACATTGTCAAATTATTGCCCTTTCATGTCCCTCTTCATTTGTGGAAACAAAAATTCACATGGAGCAAGGTCAGGTTATTAAGGTGTGTGGGGCAAGAGAGGCATGCTGTTTATTTGCCAACTGGCACACTGAGATGGCTGAGGACAAATGCATTGTCATGGTGGCAAAACCAGTTCCCTGTCTGCCACAGATCAGACCGTTTTCAGATGCATACCGTTAATCTTTTCAAACCCTCTAAATGGAAAACTTGATTAACAGTCTGACCTGGTGGAAAGAATTCCAAATGCACTATCCCCCTCACTTCAGAGGGGCTTTTTTCTGG